CACTGCGCGCAAACACAAGATGGACTGCGCATCCCGGCTGAAATTATACCGCCAGTCTGCACATCTGTTTCCAGCAAACACCTGGCCCAGCGTCGGCATCGGGATACTTTCCTGGAACAAGGACGGCGAGGGTAGGTTTGGGAAGGACCCCGGCATACTGGTATATATGTTTGATCCTAGTGCGGACATAAACGGCCAATTTTGAGGCCCTATGTCGGATATTTAGGCGGACATAAAGCCCAAAATTTCGGTCCATGTCCGGTATATAACGGCGGACACAAGGGCCTTGCCGGTCTTGGTGTCCGATCACCTGGCGGACATACCGAGTCGTCGAAGTGTCACACCCAGTAGTCCTTGTACTAGGTTGAGTGGTGTCTCTTGTGCTGCTCAGTCAACTGTCAGCTCATCTCGTGTATATCCAGGTATATCCTCAGCAACGGTCAATGACATGCAAGCTTTGGAAACAGTGGTGAATCTTAGGAAGACTGAAATACAATATCCCGGAGTGATCATGTCACGATCTACTCGTTGCAGCGTTTGGCGTGTGCCGTTTTCGAGGTTGGATCCGTTTGGCGGACACACCGGGGGGCGCCCGAACATAGGTCACTTATGCGGACATAAGCAGCCCAATTTGGGCTGACCGGATCCTAGAGGCGGACATATCCGGTCCAAATGTGTGAGGCCATAAGGGCCAAAAATCGGGCACTTAGGATCAAACATCAGTACCCATATGCCGGGGTCCTGTTTGGGAATCCTCGGTAAACCTTGTTTTCCGCGTCACTGCGTTGCACTAGTAATGCATGAATTTCCTAGGCGCGTCGAACTCCGGCCTGGAGACGCAGACCAGTCTGAATGGCTGTAGCTTACGGTCGGGCTCATCCACACCAGATACATATACATATGATTATCTGAACTCGTATTGCTCTGCTCCGCCTCCCTGCGTGCGACAATTACTTTCATGACTTCGCGGCGCCCTCTTTCACTCCGCGTCGACCGGGTTCCACGTAACCGCCCCGGCCTTGCCCCGGTCCAGCGCGTCCAGCTTCGCCACGTCCTCATCCGCCAAAGAAAAGTCGAACACCTGCGCGTTCGCGACGACGCGCTCCGGGTTCGCGGATTTAGGCAGCGGGACGAAGCTGGGTGCCGATCCCCCCTGTCAATCCCGGTTCCGCGCGTACGACCGAGCGGGAGACGGAACTAACTCACCCTTTCTGCAGGCTCCAGCGGACCGCGATCTGCGCGGGGGTCTTGCCGTACTGCGTCCGACGTGAGCCGCACGCCGAAGAACGGTGTCCGGGCGCTTACCTTCTGCGCGAGCGCGGTGATCACCGCGTCGTCGAGCTTGCCCCGCACGAGCGGCGAGTACGCCTGCACGACGATGTTGTGCGCGCGGCAGTATTCGACGATGGGTTTTTGCTGGCAGAACGGGTGGAGCTGTGGATGTAAGTGAAGCAGCGTTATTGAGTCCTTCGTTTGTCAGCTCTTGGGACGACGCACCTCCACCTGGTTCACAGCTGGCAGCTCGAGCCCCGCCTCCTTGATCTCGTCGATGTGTTTCGGTGAGCTGGGTACGCGTCAGCTTTCTTACACTTCCTGGGAGTGCTCGCGCCTACTAATTCGAGACACCAATGCTCTTGAGCTTGCCCTCCTCCTTCGCCCTGAGGAGCGCTTTGTACGTCTCGAGCCGCTTCGTCTTGCCTGAGAGCGGCGAATGGATCAGGTAGAGGTCGAGGTAATCTGGACAGTAGAGAAGAGATAAGGCAAGTGCGACGGGGACGGCAGCGGGACGTACTAAACCCGAATTTGTCCAGCGAATCCTGGACCGCGCGCAACGTCGACTCGTACCCGTGCTCCGGATCATAGATCTTGGAGGCTGATCGCCGCGGGGAAGAAGCGTCTGCATTAACACCCGCGAGGCGTCCCACGAACAGCAGGTATACGCACTGACGAACACCTGCTCGCGAGGCACGCCGCTCTCCTTCACGGCGCGCCCTACCGCCGCCTCGTTGCGGTACATCCGTGCAGAGTCGATGTGGCGGTAGCCGTGCTTGAGCGCGGCTAGGCAGGCAGGGACGGGGTCTTCATTCAGGTACACGCCCAGCCCGAGCACGGGCATGGTGTTGCCTTGGGATTGCCCGCGGGTGAGCACAGAACTGCATCATCTTCGGTATTCGATCCATACGCACCATCAAGCATGCGCACGGTGGACGCGAGCGAAAGTGTAGAAGCCATTCCTCTTCGAGCTGCTTAAATGACTTGACTGTTCGATGTCTCTGGAGAAGTACGTGGACGACAAGTGAACGTCCGCCACTGAACCCCAGTGCACTCACGCTTACTCAGGATGCTGGAGAACGGAATAGCCGTCGGGAAGCCATGACGTCGTGGTAAGATAAGATAAAAGATGTAGAATACATACCAAAAAACTCGAATTGTTCAATGCCCAAGAAAATCAGAAGAAAGACTGTCGCGGACTTCAGTTCCGAACGTAGTCTCTCCGACTGGCTGACAGCGACGGGCACACCCGCCATCGAAACGTCGGCAAAATAGTCGCCCGCTCAGCTTTCTCGATCAAACAATATGGGACGGTAAGGTAATGAGTATTACAGACAATCGTACAGTTCACGTGAAGCAAGTATCATCAACCAAATAACATTACAAGAAAGCGTTACAGACATGAAGCTCGAGCAATGATACCAGCAAAACAGAGCCGAGGTCGAGGAAGCTTTCCCTACACCTTCTGCTGTATCGACTTTTCGGACGTTGTATCCTGTGCTTCGTGCTCGAGGGCTGAAAAGGAGGTAATTGGCATGCGGAGTTTGCTGGGATGGGTGGGGGAGAGACGTACCTCGTTCCTGCCTCTCGATGTCTGCTCTCCGCTTCTCCGCCGAGACGGTACCGAAGATGATGTCCATCTCCTCGAGTGAGCGTCCCTTCGTCTCAGGGATGAGCCTTTGGTAGAATGTAAGTAAACACGTTCCTTGAGAAGTAAGACGACGCCTACAGAGAGAAGACACCCATGCCGGCGATGTTGATGGTGGCGAACATGAGGAAGATCTTGTAGCCCAAATCCGTGACCATCATCGGCGTCACCTTCGACACGACAAAGTCTACAAAGAGGGGGTCAACATCGTACAGACCACTGTCGACAAGCCACTTACTCCACAGCCACTGAGACGCGCTGGCGACTGCCAGCCCATAGTGCCGCGTGCGCGTCGGGAAGATGTCCGACACGTACACCCACGGGAGCGGGCCCCAGCCCATCGAGTAGAAGCACACGTAGATGTACAGCATCGCGGCCATCGCCTTGCTCGCGACGGGCGGGGTGACGCTGCCAGCCGTCGGCGGCGGGTGCGTCTTGAGGATGGAGCCGATGATGAAGAAGAGGATGCCCATGCCGAAGGAGGAGATGATGAGCGACATCTTGCGGCCAAGCGACTCGACGAGGAAGAACACGAAGAGCGCGGTAGCGACGACTTTGACGATGCCGTAGATACCGGACGCGAGCAGCGAGTTGGCGTTGCCGGTATACCCGATCTGGAGTACGGTCAGCGTCGGGATACATAGCGAGACCCGAACAACGCACGGATTGGAAAATCTGCGGCGCGTAGTACGACACCGAGTTCTGACCGCTCCATTGCTGGAGGAGGAAGATCACGAACGCGATCACGAAGCGGATAAAGTTGCCCTTTCCGAAGAAGGCCTCCTTAAGCCCGAGCCCCTGCCGGGCCTCGCGCTCCTCCTTGATGGCCGCCTCGATTTCGGCGAGCTCATACATGACAGACTCGGACTCGGGCGACTCTTTGCGGAGGTACGCGATGTTCTGCAGGGCCTCTTGGTTCCGGCCGCGCGAAGCGAGCCAACGCGGCGACTCCTTAACGGTGAACAGACCCATTACCATCATGCCCGCGGGGACGAGCTGGAAGCCGAACGGTATCCGCCAGATGTTCATGCCGTGCTGATGCAAGCTAACGCCGACTGACCTAGCGCATCAGCGCCAATCCATGCGGCGCGAAAAGGCGAAAAGACACACAATTGATAAAGTACGATAACATCACGCCGATCGCGACCATGATTTGGAAGAGACCGGTAATGCGACCGCGGACTTCCTTCGGCGAACACTCGGAGACGTAGGCTGGTGCAATAGCGGAGATGGCACCGATACCGAAACCAGCCACGACACGACCGCCGTAGATGTAGCCCAGGCCGCGCGAGCCACCTGCGATGGTTTGGAGAATCTGCGATGATTCGTCAGTCACAATCCAGGGCATAAAACCGAAAGGTGCGATAGAGCTAGCGCCAGGTGACCATGTGCGCAACTCTCGGGCATGACACAGTACGCTGCAATGGTTCTTGCATCCTGCTCCCGATTGCGACAGCCTCGGGAAAGCGAAACTACAGCGTGCTCCTCTCCTGGCATCACATCGCTGAAGCATGCTGCACCGAGGGCTCTCCGCAACGAAAGAAGAACACAAGTCGAATGGGACCCATTTCATGTGTTCGCGACTTCTGATGTAAGCCGAACACCGCAGCTCGGGTGGGGGGGGGGGACGTGTGATCCCTTGCTGTGCGGTCTAGATGAGTAGGCAAACCCGGCAAGAGTGCAGCGTATGTTCCAAGGAACCACGATGGGCACCCAGCGCGAGCGCCAGGATTGAAGTCGCCGTAGCGTTGCGATAACTCGAACGGTAGGATTAGCATCAGACGTGCTGATGGCTCCGGATGTAAGCCGAAATATCGCAGCCCCGGACGGTGTGAGACATCTCCTGCTGTATCGCCTGCATGAGTGGCGAAACCGGCACAGCTGCAGCGTATGGTTCAAGGAACCACGATGGGCACCCAGCGCAAGCGACAGTATTGAGGTCGCACTAACGTTGCAATAAACGAAACGGCAGGATTCGACGGACTTACCGCGCCAACCGAGAAGATGAGCGTGTACGCAACTAGGGGCCATCTCCGGCCGAAGCGAGCTGCATCTCATCAGTACAATCGACAGGTGCCACAGAAAGTTGAGCTCACAAGAGATCGGAGCACTACTTAAAGCGCCGAAGAAAGCGCCAGCCTGAAGCACGGCGACTACATTTGATGAAATCTCGTTCTTCTTTCCCGTATCGATCTTCCCTTCCTTCATTGCGCCAAAGTGCTCCAGGAAGTAGCTCTGGGACACGACACCTCCACCCACACCGCTAAGCGCTGCGTAAGCTCTATCGGCCAAATGGTGAAGATGAACACGTACGTATCATAACCGAAAAGGACGATTCCCCAGTAGGCCACAAAGGCCATCCCTAAGATCCGGAAAAAAATTCAACCCTCTTCCACCAACCTGCTAGGACGTCACTTACAGTAAACGCGGCTGTTTTTGAACATCGCCCCTGCCATATTGTCGAGAACAAAGGCAAATAATGTGCACCGGGCTGAGCTGCGAGCGAAGGAACGGACAGAAGGACGTCCTCGCGAAACCTAATGATGGGGCGGATGCTTTTATACGTAGGGAACCGCCACCGCCATTTCAGTTTCAGATCGGGGGGCAGCTGGCAATGTGCCTGGGGGACACGGCCCGGCGGGCCGTTGTGCGGGGTAGTAACTATTTATGGTAAGCGTAGTAATTTATCTCGGTGCCGCCCCCTCATCCCCGTGGGGTACCGGGCCTGCGAGGAGGGCGCAGTGTTCATCGCCCATCACGGGGTATATCTTCCGCTGTCATGCTGGCCGACGGCGGCTGGTATCCGGGGAGCGACATCAAAAATCTGAGCAATAAATACGCCGGAACAGCAGCAAATATGGTCCGGAAGGTATGTTCTGGATTTTCAGGACGAGAACTCTGAAGTTGAGAAGTCAGCAGGATGTATTCGTCTCGCATGACGCAGACTGTCTATTCTTGCATATCGTTTGATAAGAGTCCGGGCCACAATCATTCTTCTCGGCTGATAGTGATACTTACGAGGACATAACGTTAGGCGGGTTAGTCGAATTCGGCCTGACGCAACCCAACTCACAAAATCTTGATTGCGGAAAGGCCAAAGTAGAGCGGTATTAAATGGCGCACTAGCGGTGTACGTTCATTGTGAACGACAGCGGACGTCGCGAACGGCCCGGCCCACTCGAAGTGCGGCATCCCAAGTGGGACATGCGGCCAGTGAATTCCATCCTTCCTCACCCACGACTATCTTCTAATAAATACATATGAACCCTTTCCTGACGTCTCAACACGACTGCGTTTCTCTTCCACCATCTAGAATCCCGAAATACACCACCCATTGGTCGGGAGGTAATAAGGCCGGCGCTACCTAGATCGGGATGGCTCAAGGGGTGGATGCTTCAGTACCCAATTGCCGGTGAGGTAACTCTCGGCCTGGGATATGATTAACGTCGGCGCCGACGAGCGGCAGGGACTCCGCAAGTTCCAGATCTGCGTCGAACAGACCGTCAAGGCTTCCTTACACGGAGGAGCGCTTTCAGGTCCACGCTCACCGAAGACGCCGAAGACACCGACCATGAGAAACTATCCACGCCATTGGCCAGCATACGACCCAGGAAGTGTACCAGATGCTTCTGCGGTCACAGACCAGTTGCGATCTGAGGATCTACGGGTGAATATCGGGACAGAGGGCCAGAGGTTGGCGGTCCGCCCTGGTCCGCCGCTCTATTTACAACGCTCCTCACCAGCAGCCAAGGGCGCCGAGCTTCGGGCCATTCCTCGTGGGGGCTCAGTCCAGATCGGCGGTGGACATCTTTCATTTGGCGGTTTGTTATCGGGCGTCCCTTGTCACTGCCCATGGCAGGATCTGCGTGTCCGACCTTTATCGGGCAGATCTTGCAATGAGGGTCAACCTCTACAAGCCAAATTCCCGCTGGGGAGAAGACGAGATAAGCCGCTTCCTCATCTTTGGATCACTCTCACCCTCGATGGAGAGTAGCTGCGGCAAATAAGAAGTGACTCTCGTGTGAGTGCGAACCACAATGAGGACGACCAATGGGATTGGCTCACCACATCCGCCCGGCGTCCCGTCTCTACCTGAACAAGAAGTCAACACTAGCCTGAATCCTACACCGCTACTACTGCATGCCCAGTCCACCCACGGCCAGAATCATATGGAGAGTGTGATGATGATACTGAGAGCTGAGGAATCAGAAGCAGTGGTAAATTTAACATAGCATAACAAAGCATTACCTTCCTGTTCGGCCGTGCGACCGGGACTGACATGCCGAGCGCTACGCGTTGCCCTCGTGTGTGGTGGACCCGATATACAACCTCTGGGTGTATGATATACTCAGGGCCCCAGTGTGGGTCCCATCGTGGTTAGTCTGTAGCTGTGAGGTGAGGTCGTCTGCAAACCAATACATAGGTCACTCCGCCCCATATGATGAGACAGCTGCACGTGTATACGCCCCCCGAGCGAGGTGCCAGTGGTCAATGCCTCACACCGTATACGCCCAACTACCTGAAAAACCCATTCAGGTACAGTTTCTGCAGTTCCCGTATCTCCCAGATTCGATACCTGTACTTCTGAGTCGACACCCCGCCCAGCGTCAGTCGTGAGCGAAGGAGAGGAGACCGAGTCGAACGTCCCCGCACATACATATGTCGAGGCCTGGTGCGGACGCGGCTGCTCTCTGGCGACGAGAGCCTGATCCTGAAATTCCCGTTATATTTACTGGGCGGACCAGAATCTGCTGGAGGATAGTCAGACTCCTCGTGCGCTCGACGGGGCGGCGGATGCGAGGGTTTCAAGTTCATCCTGGGAGACCGGACGCGTCGAGCGGGGTTGCAGACGTAGGTGTGGACATGGACGACCTCCGCGAATGACCATTGACCAAGGGCCTCCTCTCCCTGAGATTGGTGTTGTCTTGATGGTGTTCTCACCACTAGCTAGAGCTTGTCGGCCGGGAACACGAAGGAGTTACCCGTTCCGGAGAGCGTGGTTAATTCCCATTTCTCGTCCGTACTAGTAGTAGATATTGCGGTACCGCCAGCGTCCGCGAGAAAGGGCAGTGGATATATGCAAGAGTCTGGACGCGTCTCGGTGCCACCCTCAAATATTCTTAATCATTCGGAGCTGCCCATTGACACAGGTTCAGCATACTATCATTGGGGGGGAGTTTGACAATATTTCACTGTTAAGCTCGTATCTCCTTCAGCTTTGAAGATATTTGGACGCTGATTTGACCGATCGATGCGAAATTGTGTGTTCTATCATAATATTGAGAAACCTTTACAGAAATTCTGCGTGCTTGCTATTCCGGCAGCAAAATACTGGTTTCGGCACGATTTCGCTTACACCGGGGGGGAGAGTTTGACAATCAGTCACACAACTGTCACACCGGCTGCGGCAATCTCCAGGCGGCATTCCCTTTCAGGAGCACCATTCGACTACGCCTTGGCCCGTGCACTGCGCGATTTCCTGGGAGGATGGCGATAACTGCAGCTGTATGTAGTCTTGGGATTATAAAGCGGCATATAAGACCCGCCGCACCCCATCTCTCTGTTCACACTCGCAGCTTGGGACTGACAACCGAATTTCATTACCACTATCTTATAAGCTTACAACAGTCCAATACTGTATGCCTTTTCTTTTGCCACCACCCCTCACGCGCGGTCCTTGACGGTCTGCCAGCTGGGCCGGCTGGAGATGTCCTTCCACCAGCGGGCGACGTTGGGCCGCTTGGCTGCGTCCTCGAGGAAGTTGAAGCCGACGGGGGCAAGCATGGAGCCGTACGGGAGGTGGAAGAGGTCCGCGAGGCTGATGTTCTGACGCAATACGTGTAAGCATCCCAACAAACACGCACAAGCGAAATAAACACCCACATCACCAGCGAGGTACTTCTGCTTACTCAGGATCTTCTCGTACGCGTCGAGCTTGCCCTCGAGCGCAGTCGCGTACTCGGCGACGCGCGCGTCGTCGGTGGCGAGCCCGCGGAAGCCCTTGAAGACCTTCTCGAACGCGATGCCGCTCGCGAAGGGGTCGAAGTTGGCCTGCTCGATGGACGCGGCCTGCTCAAAGCGCGCGAGGTCCTTCAGGTTCGTTGGGAGGAGCGGCGAGCCGGCCTTCGCCGCGAGATAACGCGCGATGGCGCGCGACTCGAAGAGGACGAAGCCGTCGTCGTCCTGCGCTATGCGTCAGTGGGAGGGGAGACGCGAAGGGACGGCGGACGCACGATGTAGGGCACCTGGCCGAAGGGCTGCTTCTCGAGGAAAGCGGGGGACTTGTGCTCGCCCTTGGCAAAGTCGATGGAGATGAGCTCGTACGGTATGTCGAGCTCCTTGCACACCGTCGCGACGCGGCGCGTGCACGTCGAGATCGGGTTGCCGTACAGCTTAAGGACCATGGCTTCGCGATTAACGTTAACTAGAGTCTTGGGCTGGGAGGGATGCGGATGGAGTCTGCAGGTAAGCGCTGTCTTTGGCACGCATTTTATAGGCAAGCTGAGCGGCAGGAAAGGTCTAGAAAGTGTTGACGAGGAGACGGTCGACCGGGCGGGTGCGTGCAGCGATCATCAGCGTGGGACGCGCTTAGCTAACCAGGCAATGGGTTTCATCAGCGTGTTTACGCGGCGCGTTTGTCGATTGTGGCCGCTGGTCATCTCTGCAGGCGTCCTTCAGCGCTTTTCGCTATCGATGGACCCCTTGTGATGTACTCTGTCTTTGAATAGCTTGGATTGGTAACCAGGTAGGCGATTTGTCTGACGTTGCACGGCCGTGTCCTTGTCATCGACCTGCTGTCACCCGCAACAGGCTCTACGCCACACTTTCTTGGTGCTTTGGATTGGTTATAGACCTGCCATCAGGGTGGTTTCTTCGCCGTCTGCTTGATTTTCAATCAGCGGTGACTTGGAAGCTGCTGGGCGATTCCTATCGTGATCACGTTGTGTCGGTATGTCGCCAGTAACGCGCCACACCGGACGGTTCTTTGCTATGGGTACCTCTCGGTGCGGTCTCTCAAAGCGACTCGAGCTATCGCCTCGTTCTGCATGCGACATGGCTCCGCTGGTTGATTTTTCTACCCACCCGTGACTCCTCCTGAACCAGCAAACGCCGTTCAAACATTACCCGACGAGCGGTGGCTGGCCAACACGTACACCAGGTGCAGCGGCATTTTTTCCGCAAGTTCACTTCAGCAGCGTTCACCATATCTCGTGGCACGGGCTATCCTGCCTTCCGTGCACCGACGTCCGGGACTGTGCTCCTATCACTCCACGGCGTGTCCAGGATCCGTACCCAAGCCCAGGTCTACGTCCCAGCGGGCCTCCAGTCTACCGACGTCGTTCTCCTCCCTTGGCTGTCGAAGTGTGCGCACGCCCACCGATTGCGGATACGGAACCCAGATCGCCACGCTATTCTGGATCCCAGCACGGCGGACCAGGGGCAACCGCGCGTATCTGCGGATCGCATGCAAACTGCGCGGTTCGCGCCCATGCCTGGTCCCTTTTGCCTTGCCCGGACGTCGCGAGTCTCGCCTTCGCCGTCCGTGCAGGATGCGCCCAAGCATGCTGCACTCGTCTCCGGTGTCCACCCCGCGTCGCGCTCTCTCTTTCCAATATTGAGAGTAGTAGTGCCTCGTGCGCTTCCAATAAATGGCTGGGCCTTAAGCTTGCAGACATTTTCCGAAGGCTCTCATATGTGATTTTATTGCCAGCACACATCCAGGCAGAACAACGGGCATCGACGGGTGCTGCCTCGTACACTCACACCCACACGGATCCGCCTTGGACACTTGCACGGCGCCCCTCGAGTACTTGCACTCGGTCATATTGCCCAAGGCACTTTAAATTGTCGCTCCCGCACGACTGCACGCGCAGAAGTCACTCTCGGAGATATCTTTCCTTCTACTTTCCTACCCACTGCATCACTTTGCCGGTAAGCATCTCTGGTACCCATGAAAGTGTTGCTTCCACCGTTCACTTCGACGAGTGTTCCAGCGGAGTACAGTATGTCCGCCGGAGCTTCAGTTGGGCAGGATCGACCTGCAGTTCTAGAATCAGAGGACGACATAGTCAAGATGTATCAAGCCAAACCAACCCTGTACTAGTAAATACTGAGTCCGTTATCAATGACACGCAATACAAGGATACATCATGCAGGGTATAGATAGATTAGTGACACAAACGAAACGAACGTAGATACCAGCCAACTCCCCCCGCGCACCACCGCCCTCGCCCACGCTCACGCCGGATTCCAGCCGCCCGGCCGGCTGCGGTAATCCACATCGCTCGGCCGTCCCAGCGACGCCGCACTCGAGTTATCTTCCTGGTAATACCGCGCGCCCTCGGGGTGATTCACGTTCACCGTCGATCCCGCGGTCGGGTTGTACGGAGCTAGCCTAATGCCCTCGTCGTCGCTCCGCCGTGTCGGGTGGGGAGTGCTGGCGGACTTACTTGAGAGCGGGTAGCGCGGGGCGGCGTCGACACCGAAGGCCTCCCCGAACGTCGCCTTCGGCGCCCCGTTGGCATCCACGTTGCGCACGCCGTGCGTGCCGGGCTTGCCGCGCAGGTAGTCGATGTAGAACTTGAGCGACCCGAAGATCTCGATGGCGAAGTCGGCTGGAAGGCTCGTCAGCGATCATGGCGCGTGCCGAGAGGAACAGACTTACTGTAGTTGATGCTGTGGAAAAAGGGTGCCCGAGTCAGAGTTGTATTTCGAATCGAGTAAGCGCGGCACGTCACCTGTCCCACAGCGGCCTCCAGATTGAGGTGTGCTCGCCGCCCTTCAGGGTGTACTCTTTCCAAGTGTAGGCCCACATCATGAATGCCGCGAAGAACACCATCTGCATACGCGTCAGTATACAACCTTATCATCGTTCTACTGAAGGAACGGACCTCAATACATATAGCGAGTGCATTCAGTCCATTCGCGATATTAGTAGAGGTCCAATAATCGGTAGCTTCGGAAAGACGACATTAACAAGCCTGGCGCGCAAGTGAACGACAAATACCTTTGATTATGCCGTGGCTCTCAAGGGCAGAGAACTGACGATGACGAGAGTGGTGAGAACCATCGGGTAGCAAGACAACGAATGCGACAGGAACGTACGACGAACGACTGGTAAAAGGTGAACATGACGATCAACTTGATAGCCAAGAACTTCGCCAGCGGTCGGCGGCCTTGCAGTTCCGCATGGGTGAGCCCATAGAATATGAACAGGCCGTACAGCGCCACACTATCCAAGAAGGTTAGAAGCAAATGATGGATGGAAACGCACGACCTACGTTATACTGACGAAATCGATCGCCTCAAGGTATACCTCGGCGTAGTATATACTGTACGGCCCCGATGGACATAGAACGCCATAGTATTCACAGACGATGCCCGCTATTGAGACACCTGCACGGACGAGGATGGTCTCAGTGGGTGTGGCTCCACCAAGCGAGAGGCTTACCAGGTCTGACGACCACGTATTGGAGCACAGACCACTTGATATAGAAGATAATGAGTACGTGTAGGAGAAGCAAAGATGGTTCAGCTTTACCTTGATTGTGTACATAAAGTACGCCTGTCAATCATCCCTGTACTGTCAGGTAAGGTCATAGTAAGACAGCTGAAACCCACCTTGGTCGGCCTGTACCTCCAGAAGCAGAACTACACCCTTTTTAAGAGTATGCCCGCGCAAGAGGGGTCACAACATACCGGAAACGGTAGAGGAGTCTTATCTTTCCTAGCAATCGCATTCTCGGCAGCATGTCCTGCCGCAGTAGTTGCTACATATTCTATGAGAAGCATCCTGCGCAGGGGTCAGCCACTACTATGCACCGTTGGATAATTAGTACCCACATGAAGGCGCTCAGGGTTACCGCCTGAAGATGCTATGTCAACGAATGACAACAGTTGGCGAGAACATGACACCAACCTCGTATGCTGTACACCAGGTGAGTTCAGATTGCTAGGCTGGCACAGCGTCTGCCACGTACCAACTTCAATCAGGGAGTAATAGGTGTAATCTCGGAAGAAACGGTAGGATAGGAAGGAAATGATGGCGTAGACTGGGGGCATGTACAGGATACGAAGTCTACAGAACCCGTATGTTCAGCTTTCCTAACCAGCCAGAATATGACGACCTGTACATTTGACGTTGCTCTGCCCGGTTCTGGTAGTTTCTGTCAAACCGATCGTCAGTTCACAGCCTCAGGAAAGCTCGACTTTAACAGACCGGCAATGTTGCAATACTGTCACTGCAGACAGGATAACTGTCTACTGACAGCTCAAGTTCCTCCCTACACTGCGTGGACCGACAACGACGTACCGCAGCAGCGCAACCGCCCGCTATAGCCCATCCTATCCTGTGCGTATCCCAATGAATATTATCACCACTCCAAAACGAGCTTTGGTCCACAGCTTGCGCATTGTCCGCTGGACAGGTAGGTCGGGGCATTTTTAGAGTAGAATTCCGCAGCAGCCTCAAGTGTACAACGCCTTGTCCTCGGTGTATGTGGCGCGGCAGTGATCCCGACGGAAGACGTCAGTATAACACCTCCAGGTATAGCAACTTCAGGTACAGCAACTCCAGCGGCACCCAGGGAGCCCGGACGTCAGAGGGAGACAAGCAATGAAGTAGGAGATAAATATACGGCCAGCCAGCTAGCGCAGTGTTTTCCGTCTTCACAGCTTGCAAGCTGTGCGGTACGATGGGACAACAAGCCGACTGCGGAATATTACGTGAGAAAAAGGTAGTAAGAGGACGCCACAGTGGCAACACAAACGCTTGCGCTCAATAAACAAGGAATTTCTATCCGAAAGGGCCTCAAGTACTGCATTCTGACTACATGACAGGGGGTACTGACCCGGTTCAATAGGCTTTCATAAACGAGGCAGGAAGTAGGTGGAGTAACATCGGCAATAATCTGTCCATAGCAGTAGCTCAGTTCTTCGAATCAATTGTTTGCTTGGTATCATAACCTGTGGTTAGGATGAATGAGCACGTTCAGCCGGAAATGTACCATGCGTCATGAATGAGCGCGTTGAGACAAGACATCATGAGTAACATCAACATCACAGATGAAATCACCCTCTTTAAGCAAACAGCATGTATTGCAGGTCGATCGCACCACCATCAACGAGGAATGAAAGTTGTGTATCACCGGGGTATCGAGTGCCCGATCGCCCTCATGAGCTCTGTCTTCGTCAGTACATAGCAAGCCTCATTCCTACGCGTGGCTCCTCCGTCGGCGAACCTTGATTGTCTGGCTTTTTTCAAGAGAACGGAGAGGATATATCGCTCCACGTCAGTGATGGTTCATTTGAGTATAACCTGGGCAAAGCCGTCGCCCTCGCCATGGATCCGACGGAGCGTGTACGCGATGCGCAGCGGGCGTGCCACCCATGTGTCCTGGTTCAAGCTGAAAAGAGCAGAATGTCCAGAAAAGTGACTCGGTCAGTGGGGAGAATGATCAGCAATCAGGTAGATACTGAAGGCAGACGGACCGTCAGTCACGGAAGTTGGCATCGAAAAATGCGACCCTGCCAGCCACCTCCCTAACAAGTCGATGTTGTTCAACTCTTCCATATATCACTGGAGGTAGTATGGCATAACGCTGCGGAACGGACTACTCCATGTAGCCCGTCCACCCTGGCCTGAAAATAGCCTTGTTTCAGTTCATTGTATTGGATTGGCTTGGGTGCGACTTCTTCGCAAGGGGGACTGTAGAGTAAAGATCGCCACGTCAGCAACGACGAATTCAAATGGCGAGGACAGCTTCGTGAAGCC